ATGAACTACTTTTTTCCATCAGAGAGAGACTTGATCCCATTTACACTTCCTTCTATCCCTTGTTTACTTAATCATCCTGCCGTGTCTCCTTTTAATGCCTGTTGTATCAAAAGGATGGCAGTATTTCCATTATTCAATCACCTCCTTATTTACATGATTTCTACACACATCTGTATAATCTTCCTTATTGCCTTTGCTAAGGTATTATGTCCATGTATTGAAGTTGTTGATACTTGTGTTCTAAGTATCAACACATGCACTGAAGTCACTTTCAGAGCTGCAAGATGGAACGCTAACAAGCGTCAAGAACAAGGTAACATATCTCCAGCAATCATCACCTGTTCTTTTTAATTATCTAGCTTGATCATGAATGATCTTATCATCTAACAAATGTTCATCTCCAAACTTGTGCTTATACATTATGTTTCATTGTCTATAATGCATCCCAGCAATGCCACTCTGTTCCAAGTGTTATGTGCTTGGAAGTTTCAGTACAGAAAGCAGGTGAGTGATTCTTTTATGCCTTGTATTTGTCTGTATGGCACACAGCTTATCCACACTCATTAATCATACCCAACTTTAGCAAGTGAGGATCAATAATTACCTACCTGCTCACTCTGAGCTTACAGAAACAAGAATCTTTCTGATTCCTATGTTTTGTACTACCTGATTTCATGAAGTAATTAGCTGTCCACCTACCTACAATTACTGCTCAGGCCATCTTTATGATTTATGGGTTACAATTAGCCATTTATGATTCCAGCATTACAATCACTGTGTATGGCATTCATTGAGATTCATTTACTGGTAAGTACTTTTGACAGCAAATTGTGAGTTCAACAAAGATTTTGTTCTCTTAAAACACTAAATTACATGACATTTTGATGGTTAGGAATCTAATCTTCTCTTAGAACCACATAATCTAGTCCAAGATTCTTTTTGTGATTGTGACCACAAAGACAGTAAAATTTGGACACAGCTTCATTGTCATCTCATTCTTCTCACATGACCTCTGCAGCTGGCAGATTCATCTCAAACCAAGTCTCTTTCTTGTGGCAGAACATCACAATGCGAAACTCAATCTGATAAGCACTCAATTAAGTCTTCGTCTGCTGCATTGTATCACTTCAAGTTGGGTCCAGAAGATACTGAGGTTGGCGAAAGGATATGGCATTAAAAGAGGGAGTGGTGAATGCTGAGAGCATTGTTCTTCACAAGTAAGCATCAAGGTTGATCCTTTGCAAACGTAACTCAATTTGCAACATAAATATGCTTAGTTGGAAGTTAGAACAAGAAGATTAGGCACCTTTGACAAGGACTTCAAAACACAACACAAGCTTTCAACTCACCTACAGACTGGTGGTGAACTTGCTCTACAAATTATTGACAAAGTCAATTGTCCTAACGATGCTTACGTATACCTACTACGGATAACGAAACCCATGGAATCTTTAGCGAAGGCAGCATCATGGAGGCCATCAACTTGCATGCACCAAACCACTATATATGGACCTCACATATGCTGCAACTACTCAGACGGCACATCGACAAGAATCCTCTGTCCATAGCTGCAGCTATGAGCTTCGCTGTGACCAGAACAAACCGGTCCTTCATCGTTCCATGCGAGGCGACGCCGAGAGGCTCGCTCGGCCTCTCCGTCATCGACCGGGTGCCCGGCCTCAGGCATATGGTGCGGTCGCTCCACGTGTTCAGGCACGGCCGGGAGCCGGCCAGGGTCATCAGGGAAGCACTGTCGAAGGCGCTGGTGAAGTACTACCCCTTTGCCGGGCGGTTCGTGGAAGATCCCGACGGCGGCGGCGAGGTTCGTGTCGCTTGCACTGGCGAGGGCGCTTGGTTCGTCGAGGCCAAGACGGAATGCAGCTTGGAGGACGTGAAGTACCTCGACCTCCCGCTCATTATCCCTGAGGACGAGCTCCTGCCCAAGCCCAGCCCGGAACTGAACCCCCTCGACCTCCCTCTCATGATGCAGGTAGCGTGTTAGGTTTACTGATCAGTGAGCGAGAACGAATGGTTACGATCATCTGATCGACCTCTTACGACAACAAGACTTCACTCCTCTGCTTTCTCAGGTGACAGAGTTCGGGGGCGGTGGATTTGTGGTCGGCCTCATCTCCGTCCACACCATCGCCGACGGCCTCGGCGCCGTCCAGTTCATCAACGCCGTCGCCGAGATCGCCCGCGGCCTACCGAATCCCACCGTGGAGCCTGCATGGTCCCGGGAGGTCATACCCAACCCACCTAAGCTGCCTACCGGTGGCCCGCCCGTGTTCCCTTCCTTCAAGCTGC